TGACATATTGTTAGGAAATTCCTGAATACAGACACACTGACATACTTCTATAATTTCTATTTTGTTTTGGTTACTATCCTTGACTCTGGTCCGGCATAGTACACAACCACTGGTGTCAAACGAGTATAACTCACAAAACCCAACATAATAATAATAGCGAAGATTCCAAACGGTTAAAAGTGTAAGGCCGAGACTCCACTAGCGTAAAAGCCTTCGCCGTAAAAACTTTTAATCACGTGACCTATTTGCGTTTATGTCTGGATTGCGGAGGAGGTCCAGCTTGCGAAATTTTTATGGCGACGGTACTATCGAAATTATAAAAAAAATGATTATATTCTACGAGTTTTTTCTGTACTATAATTACAAATGTAGTAAAAATAATATCTTTACTTTCATATACTGTATTAACTTTTATTATCGTATTATTAAGATAATATACAGCACTTATAAGCTTAGCTTTTTTCATTATATACTCCTCTAAATTGAAGGATTATTCTTTGGCCGTCCATATCGCATGTTTTAGGCATCCATTATTATAATCGGGATACTTCTTATCGTAGATACACGAATACTTTCGGATGTTTTCGATAAATCTTTTCAGATCTATTCTAGAGTAGTCACGAGGGAACGTACACAAAAGCTCGTTTTTCGCCATTTTCTCACCGTGTCGCAATGACCTAGATTTCACTGACTTCCGATTGGTGGATGGTACCGTTTTACGGCCGTATTCCCGTCGAAAGTTGAACACTACTCAACTCGCTTTTACGCTGGTTTTACGATCTGCTCGGGCTTAAAATATCAGGGTTAAGCCTAGACTCCACATTACCTGAAAACAGAAACTCAGAAACAGAACTGAAACATATAGAGTTTTCGTTTCAGTTATGTTTTCGTTTTAACTTGACTCCACTAGAAATGCGCCATCTGTTGATCAGTTCCGTAATTGTCGTAGAATCGAATATGGACGACGCGTCAGTTCTGTATCTGAGTTTCTGTTGTCAGGTAATGTGGAGTCCAGGCTTAACTCTGCTTTCAGTCTTGTTTCTGTCCAACCGAACGTTACAAAACGGAAAGTTTCGTCAGTTTGGCTTTCAGTTTTACGATTACGTCGCGGATTCCGGTAATGTGGAGTCCAGGCTTAACTGTGTACCAAATTTCAGCTTTCAACTCCTAACCGTTTGGGCTCTGCGCTTATTATTATTATCAACTCGTCTCGATTATATATATACTAGCTGTTACCCGCGGCTTTGCCCGCGAGGATTTTGCAATTTGATAGAAATAGCCCTCTCTCGGTACTTCACTACCGTGTTTCCCCGAAAATAAGACATCCTCTGAAAATAAGACCTAGCAGAGGTTTTGCTGAATTGCTAAATATAAGGCTTCCCCCGAAAGTAAGACCTAGCAAAGTTTTGTTTTTTAATCGTAACGGTCATCAACAGATGGTTGAAAGTGGCCGTTGGCTTTTTGAAAGTAAAGCCACTGATTGGTCAGCAGACAACACGCCACACGGCATGATTTGCATAAGACTGTGGCTTCAGAATCACAGATTTGCATAACGTTACGTCTGGTGATCGCTAATTGGTCGGCCGGGAATCACGCCACATCACATTTGCATAGTGCTACGATTCAGTAAGCATTAATTGGTCATCGAGCCCGATGTCGATGCTATAAAAAGTTTAAGTTGAAGCGAGAGTGGGAAGTCCACTCCAGCACGGGAACTTCTTAAGTTTACTTCGGTTCTATTGACGTTCAGTTCGACACGACCGAGTATACGTCACTCTTGTCTAAATTCGACTTGGGAATTTTTTTTTTCAACAATAAATGTGAATTCTTCTTCATGGAAAAATAAGACCTAGCGCATCTTTGAGAGCAAAGATTAATATAGGACACTCTTATTTTCGGGGAAACAGGGTAAGATTCTCAATCATTACTTGTTGCTAATTTGGTAAAATTATTGATAAATAAATAAATTTATAAATACTTACAGTTACCCCAGTACTTCTTTGTAAACTATGTTTGCGGTACAGCCTTTCGGGGCTAAGATGACCAGACTACTCGCAGAGCTTACTCTGGAACATGCGACATAGAATTGTCCATGAGAAAAACAGTCTTCACTCAAGTCGATGCCGGCCATTTTCAGTGACTGTCCTTGTGATTTATTAATAGTCATGGCAAAACACACCTTGAGGGGAAACTGTGTTCTCTTAAATTCGAACGGATAGTCTGATGGTATTAATGGTATTCTTGGGATAAAAACTATCTCTCCCCGAGCACATCCAGTGATTACTGTAGCTTCTACAATGTTCTTATGCAAAGCTTTCACTTGTAATCTCGTACCATTGCATAATTTCGGTGGATTAAGATTTCTTAATAACATTACAGGTGCTCCGACTTTAAGAATGAGTTTATGTGATGGCAGACCAGGAGGATTCAGAGTATTAAGAAATTCTGTTGGATAGTGGACGGCGTCATCCGTTTGGATCACTGCATCAAAAGACCTGTATTCAAGATCTTTAGCTTCGAAGGCCTTTAATAGAATATCATTAATTGTGGCTGCTTTATCGTTTCTCGGAGTTAAGATAGCACGCTCGCACAACCATTCTGTGGGCTTCTTTTTGATGTTGCTTATATCAGGATATATTTTAGAAGTTAGCTCTGATAAGGAGGTAACTACTGTACCCAAATCTGAAGGGATTGTGATTTTACCTTCCAGTGAAGGGTAATTTCCATCGCCTATTTTTAGTAGCACCTCAGCGAAAAGCCCAGCGGATGTATCTCCACTTAAATGGACTCGCATATTGTATTGGAGTGCAAGTTTCCGGATATGTGGCCACAAATATGAAGTCTTTAAGCATGCTTTTACTTCATCTGCCCGTGTACCCCTAGGTATGACTGGTAATGTTTGCCGAAAATCTCCAGCTAACAGCACAGTGACCCCTCCCATCAAACTATTGTTTTCTCTTATGTCTTTTAATGTTCTACTGATAGCTTCGAATCCGCTCTTATGGGCCATAGTGCATTCATCCCAAACTATTAGTTTACAGTCCTTCAAAACTTGCGCCATGTTACTCTGTTTTGAAATATTACAGATAGGTGTGTCTACTTGCATCAGGTTCAAGGGCAGTTTGAACGCAGAATGAGCCGTTCTACCTCCTTCCAGCAACGTTGCAGCAATGCCTGAAGAAGCAACAGCCAATGCTATCTGGCGATCTTTTCGCACTCTAGCCAATAAAAGATTGAGGACAAATGTCTTACCGGTGCCGCCAGGAGCATCTAAGAAAAATGTTTGGCCAGTGCCTTTTTCGATGCTTTCTAAAATTTGGCTATAAACGTGAGACTGTTCATCGTTTAACAAATTTTCATTAGTAGTTACAATTTGTGCTAAAATATTTGAGTCATAGCTCATCTCTCGGAGATAGTCTGTATTTTGTAACACTTCACTACATCTTGATGGCTGAGGTAAACCATACTGTTGTAAGCATTTGCCTCCTAAAGACAGCACTGTATCTTCAAGACACACCAAGCATTTATTGTATACTTCATTTAAAATTAGATGGACATCTGTATGTTGTAACTCTAACTCGACTTGGTGCCGTATATCTTCCGAAAGGGTATCTTTATATTTCTCCCAAAGATTTGAAGCATCTGACAATTGACAAAATATCAACATTACTGCAAAAAGTTCGCGTAATCTAAATGGAGAATCACAAAGCGCAGCTTCTACCATAGCTGCATCCCAGTGCCTTTCATCTTCTAGCAAGCCTAGAACCTTACATGCAGACTGGTATGTGGGTTGAATCGTACCATTAACCGTTTTCAATTCTATGAAAGATGTAGGGCCTCGGATTTCATGTAGTAAAAGGCGAAGATAATAACACTCAGTATTATTAGGGTGGATGGTATATACCCTGCCTAAAGTCTGATCTTTTTTTACTCCCGGCCAGCCATCGACGTCATTACCACGTTTTCTTCTCTCAAATCTGTTATTTTTCCATACATAGAAAGAGGGAACTTCAACATAAAGAAGTGTTTTTGCAAAATTATCTGTTTTGCATAAGTCAAAAAATGCTGTAAGCGTAGTTTTTACAGGATTGTTAACAATATTTGTTAAGTGATGGGAGTCGTTTGGGTTAAAATAGACTCGCTGGCCATTTTCCAAATGCACAGTGAGATGAAAAACTGGAGGAAACCTCTCATGGATGGGAAAAGCCAGAATTCTCCATACAGCCTCGGAGCTGCTGATGTATCGCCCACTTTCATAGAGTTCAACTTCGTCCTTTTCATTTTTAAGACTAAATGTTGCCTGATCACTCCCTTTGTTGACATATTTACATATGTATTTTATAGATTTTACAGAGTTACAGTACTCCACGTTAATATGAGCACCGAAAGTACGTGAAAGCACAGGGTTATATGGCACTACCCAACGGTTATCAAGGGTCACACCACTGATTTCAACAGTGAAACCACCATCTCCTGGAGCTCTTCGTCGATACTTTGGGTATCCGTCTTCTCCTGTTTGAGTTTCTTGAAGGAGAGGTCGAGGAAACTTCTTAGAGCAGCTACCTTCTTTCATACAGGGTGATCTGTTATTTAAATTACCGCAAGGCCCGTGTATCATATTGCCTTTTATAATTTCATAAAGGAGAGGATCTTTCGCAGGGTCTGGTATCTCTGCACAAATAACGCTATCTAATTTATCTGGAGAAATACGTTGCTGTAGCCACAACAAAATATGTATATGAGGCAAACCACGCTTTTGCCATTCGACAGAATATATAAAACAACGCACGTCTCCAAACAAATTCCCCTTTGTTAGCAATGTCATTAATGCCTTAACTTTTAAGTGAAATACCCTAGCAATGATATCATGACGATCATGAGGCTTTTGTCCAGATAGTAATGCATTTTTAATATCATTCCATCGAGGATTACATGTAAATGTAATGAATAAATCAGGACGACCGTAATAGCGAACGTATGTCATGGCGTCTTGAGTCTTTTCATGCATGTATCGTGGTGACCCAGTGAAAGATGACGGAAGCACTACCATCTGACCAAGCTGAGCGACATCGGTATCTTGTATTCCTATAGCATCTCTGAGATGTATGTAACTATCGACTCGGAGTTGCGCCTGGTTGTTTCTGATAAAATTTAATCGCTCTGTCTCAATTTTTGCGTACAAACTAAGTATTGACTGAAGAGAGATCGACAATATAATAAATGGTTGATTTCCGTTTGTCTGATCATGATGCGGTAAGAATAAAAGTTCATTGCAGAAACGGTTTTTCGAAGAGGTAACTTTGTTTTCGGGTCAATGTGGGAGATGTCAATGAAGTAACCATCCTCACCTCGACAGAAAAGTAGCGGGTATTGCAATGCATCGTACGAACGGTGAACTTCACTAATACGCTGTAATTTGTTGTCATGACTTTGTAATACAATATCTCGTTTTTCAAACTGCTGTCCAACTATGACCAGAGCTACTTCGCTTGCTGTCGGTGCATTAAAACGTCCTCTATGAGCATTGGCTGGTTTCCTATCAGCATGAATTACAACTTCTAAGTTTTTACAATTGTGAGATACTTTTTCAAGAGCAGTTTTTAAATCTTTTAAGTATGGGTTATAGTAGTGCAACATCGCCTGTAATTGCTTTATCAGACTCTTTTTTACATCAGGGAAGATGCTGCATCTTAAACTTGCCTCTCTCTCATCCTCTCCAACAAAATAAATTTGTAAGAATTGAGGGGTGTTTTGAGGTAAAGGTTGCAGACTACCAATTAAGTGATACACCTGACCCTGCACTTTGAAAGTAGGCATAAATCCGTCTTCTAAAACTTGTTTCGCTCCAAAAGACGTCATTTGGAAGCAAGCATTATATTTCCTAATACGGTCCATAAAATGAATGTGCTCAGGATGCAGGCCCATGAGCAAACTATTGAGTGGCTCAGGTAGAGGCAAAAAAGCTGGAAGCTGCACTTTACCGGCGCTACAGCACATACCAGGTGCTTCTTCTTTAAACTTGAGGGCGTTACAGTGTATGCATTTATGACTCATAGTGCCCAGGGATACTAATTTATCGGTTTCATAAGCTATCTTTGGGTCATATTTCATCCCGGAAAAAGTTTTAATCTTCCATGGAAGTAATCGTCTTTCCGTTCGTTTTCCTTGATTTTTATGCTCATATCTACGAACGACTGCTCTGTGAACCTCTGGATGATTTTGTTGGTAATGAGCTGCTGCTACTCTATGAACCTCGGGATTATTTTTTTTGTATTTAGCTGCTGCTGTTCTGTTAACTTCTGGATTTTTTTGTTGGTATTTAGCTACTGCTGTTCTGTTAATTTCTGGATTTTTTTGTTGGTATTTAGCTGCTGCTGTTCTGTTAACTTCTGGATTGTTTTGTTGGTATTTAGCTGCTGCTGTTCTGTTAACTTCTGGATTGTTTTGTTGGTATTTAGCTGCTGCTGTTCTGTTAACTTCTGGATTTTTTTGTTGGTATTTAGCTGCTGCTGCTCTGTGAACTTCTGGATTCTTTTGTTGGTATTTAGTAGCAGCTTGTAAGAGCTTTTTTTTTCTAATTGTGTTCGTAAATCTAGCACGACGTTTTTTAGTACGTTTCTCAAAGCTAGGTATTCTATCAGAGTTAACTGAATTAAAAATAGATGTTGACAATTCATCTTCATAAGGCAAATAAACATCAAAATGTCCATGAGACAGGTCTTGCATAGAACTAAAACGCAGTCGCTTTACGGGGTTTCCTTCACCAAATTTCTCATACAGCT